GAAATGATGTCCCTGGGGCAGGCGGGCATAGGGAGGAAAGGGAGCTGTCTCCTCTCCTCCTCTGAAGGAAACTCTGAACGCTGTAGAAGTTAGCAGCTAGAAGGGTAGCTGCTTGAGGGGCAGTGCTGGAGGGCACAAGGTGGTGCTGGCTGCAGCTGGAGGGAGGGGACTTTGGGCGAGGGAAGCAAAGGAAGACCCCCACACAGAGGCCTGGGTGGCAGAAGGGCAGGAGGTGAAGAGACTCTTCTCTCGCCCCCTCAGGGCCCCACAGCTTCCTTCATCCTCCTCTCTGCTCCCTAACCCCCGCCCCTCAGGCTTGGAGAGACCAAAAAAAAAAAAAAAAAAGGAAAAGGAAAACACAGCCACTTGTGCCAAGAGAGAAATTGCAGCTCCTCAAAAATGGAAAGCAGGGTCATCATTCTAATACTTTGAATGTGGACTGTTCCAGAGAACAGCAAGACGTGTCAGGAATGAGAACGGTCTGAGACAGGGCCCCAGGAACACTGGCCACTCCACCAGGGAGATGAAAGAATTTCCTCCTTCCTTTGCCTTTTAAATGTAATTCTGTCTGCCCTTCTCCCCCAACACACACCCACTCAACCCTCTTGCTGGGAGCAGCGCAGACATTTAGCAGTCCTGGGAAAAGGCAGGATCCTTTTCATTAACTTCAGCCTGATTTGAAGTCCCCAGAGCCATGGCGGATTGCATTTTCCTCCCTCTCTGCCTCCCTGCCGTGGATCCCTCCCCACACACTGCCAGGCTGCTCTGGGCAGGGAACGTGTTTTTCCAGTGGGACAGAATGAGGCCACCCTCTGAGTAGGGGGATGGTTTGGGCAGTGGCTTTGTGGAGGGACACGCTCGTGTCCTCTTGCCCACGCCTCAGTTTCCCCTGTGTTCTGCGCACATGTATCTCACTTTCACCAGAGGCAGGCAGCCAACTGTGTCTAGGGCCAAGGGTTTCTGCAGAGGGACTGGGGGGTTAAAGGCCTCATCCGGGCCTGTTGTTAACTAACCGCGTGATCTTGAGAAGTCACTTATCAACTTCTGCAAAATAAAGACTTAGTCTGGAAGGTTTAAATTTGTTTTAGTGGCAGAACATTTGACTCCAAATTAATTTGTGGATATGAAAGAGAGAAAAGCAGAGCCGCTGTGACTGAAGGGAGAGAGAGGTGGACCCAGTGGGGGCTCTCAGACTCAACCACCTTCCCTTGATCCAGTTCCCCAGCAGAGGTGCCTCCTGACCCCACTGGGGACACGGTGACTTTTCTCATCCACCCAGAGAACTTCAACTGTCTCCTTCAGGTCCTGAAACTCTTTGGGGGTCCAGATCTAGGTGGGCTGCAATTGCAGAATACAGGAGGACTTCCCGTCCTGTATTTCTAAGCCCCATCTGAGCACGACACTTCAGTGCCGAGGGCCAGCCCTTTCTCCTTACTGGGTGCAGAATGTGTAGACATTTAGGAAATAATCAGCTTGGTAGAGGGGAGTAGTCAAGGAGCAGGGTCTGTGTTTGGCCCAAGAGCTCATGTATTTGGTTACAGCAAGGGTAGAAGCCAGGAGCCAGGCAGGCAGGGGTTCCTGGCTGGATGTTCGGGAGAAGCAGACTTCTGCACACACTCATTCAGGAACCCTTGAGGGAGGAGGTCGCAAGGTTCACCTTGGGCTGTTTCCCAGGTCAGGTAACACCTGGAATGCATGCTAGATTGTGAGGGAAGTTCAGAATCCCCAAGGTAAGGAATTCAGGAGTTCTAGAAGTTACTTGCTAACCACACCTCACTGCGTCCCCCAAACCCACTTGGAGAAGCTAACACATCCGGATGGCCCCGGGCCCATTGTATGGTTTCATCCGCAGGAAGGGGAGCTCCCTTCAGTGTGGTAGTGGGTTCCTTCACTGCTCAACTTCTTTCTCTATATCCCGTCTTTACTTCAATTTAACCTTTGACACCTACACTGAAGTATAAGCCAATATTCACTCATAAACCTACAGCGGGAAGAGAAGAGCTTGCTCTCATCATGTAAGTTAATTAATTCATTGAAATATCTGAGTGCCTACTTCATGCCGGAAATGCTGTAGATACTGAGCGCCATTTCCTCTTGTCGACTTGAAGGGTGTCGTAAGCCGTCTCTCGCACTTCTGCTCTCCGGGCTCCGCAGTTGAGGCATTCTCGCCCTCGCCGCTAGGTTGACAGTATTCCCCACTTTCCTTTTAAGTCATTTGGTCAACAGGTATTTACTGACTAATCACCAGTCTAGACTCCTCTCATCACTTTGAGGAATGCAGAAGTTACATAAGATATAAATCATGGTCTTATTGGGCATGGTCTTGTTAGGTGAAAAAATAAAAAATACACAGGACAGCACAAAACAGACCCTTAAACAACTAAGAACTAAATTGCATGCATCTGGTTTCCTTTTAAGAGAAGAAAAGAGGATATAAGGCTTCCAGGAAGGTAGGATATATCCTAATTTTGTTGAGCTAGGCACGTAACAAGTAATAACCAAAGATGCCATATCTCTATATCCAAACAGATGGATCTGGCAACTTCTCAATCCCAAAAGCGCTGACATGAGGGAATAGTGCATATGTTGAGATGCTTTGAACACGCTTGTGGTTGATTTCCAGATGAAGCATCTCAGAGCTAGGAGGAAGTAGATGTTTTGTCTCACGCATTCTCTCTGTCTGGTGAACTCTGTTAAGGGGCGGTGGGGTGGGGGGGGGGGAGGTGGATAAAGGTGCCTGCCTGCTGGATTCCCAAAGCCTAGAGAATTCGAGATTTGGTCCTATATGCTAACACATGTTGGTGGCTCTGCCCTTGCAAAGGTCACTCCCATGCTCAAACCTCCCTCCAACTTTTCTGTCCCTCCTCCCCAGCTCCACCCTAACCTTTGCTCAAGCTCAAGTTAGAGGCCTAGACTGCATTGATAAGATCGGAAGAGTAGGTGGTCATTGCCAATTAAATGAAAGAATGTCTGGAAGAAGGGTCCATGAGTGGTCATTCATAGGGACATGCTTTATGTTACTGCCTGTGGCGCGTTGTCAAAAAAAAGTAGCACTCATCTTTTTTGCTACACATGGCACCTCAACAAATTATCTCCAACATGCTATCATCCAGAGGCATCGTTGTACAGAAGAGAGAGGATGAGCTTTGGGAAAATAGAGTTTTGGATTTAAACCCCAAATGCATGTACTACCTGGGTGACCTAGAAAATGCTATTTATCCTCCGCAAAGTCTCAATTTTCCCATCCGTAAAGTGGGGCTGCTTTCTATCTCACATGGCTGTTGTAAGATTAAAAAAGAAAAAGTGTGGGAAGCAACAGACACTCTGCTGGATACCCCGGGCATCCTCGACCCTCAGTGTCTCCTGGTTCCCTCCTTCCTCCTTAATGTGTGCCGTGGCCGGCATGAGCAGATGCCAAGGGAGCGGGGTCGGGAAGGGCATGTTCTTTGTCCATGTCTTGGCCCTTGCAGCTGCGCCACCTGAACCGCCTTGTCCTGCGGCCTTTCCATTTGCAAGGCTCAGTTCAAACTCCGTCTTCTTTTGGCAATGGCGCCTGACCTCTCTTGCTCTGTGCACGCACAGTTTGGTTCTTACACTCTGCTGCTACCCTCTGCTCACACTGACATACACACATCTACTCCTTTGACCCAACTGTGGGTTCCTTAAAGGCGGGGACTGTCTTATGATTAGGTTTGGCCCTCGGTGACTAGTCAAGTGCCCCAGTGGCTTGTTGCTTGGCTATTTCATAACAAGCAGAGCGGCCAATCTGGCTGGCTGGCTGTCAGGATGAATGCCACCTTCTCTGGGCACCTGCAGCCCCGGGAACCTAGCCCTCAGGACTGGGTGTGGGGACAAATGTACAGTGTGTACATTCTCCACCTCATTTCTGCTCTATGCCGGAGTTGACACCACTTTACGTATCATTTTTGGCAAAGTGATATAGAGAAGCTGAACAGCCCGGTTGAGCTTTCCTGAAGGCTGGAGGCACTGGAGCCCAGCATGACTCCCTCTCTTTCTTGAACCAAACAAAATATTGTTACAGCAAACATGAAATCTTTCCTATTTTTCGCAAACGCTCTCCAGGCCTAACAAAGCTAGCAGTCACACTCCTTGAATCAAAATAAGCATCTGCCCTTTTTCTCTTTATCCTACAATTTCCCAGCATTTTTGAGCAACAATAAAGAATGTGATCATTTTAGTAATTAATCGTATGCTTCTATTTAGTGCTTTCTGGAGAGGATGCAAAAATATCAAAACATGAACTCGACCCTTTAATATTGATTAAACACAGAGACACAGAAAATATCTAAACCATGGCAATTGGAGGCATAAGCCGTGAACACCTAAATAGTATATGAGATCAAAGGGTAATATATAATGAAGGGAAACTGAGTCACATGTAGGTGGGTAAAGGGAAGGGTTATTTTTACTGGTCTGATTGAAGAGAAGAAAAAGGAAAAAAAAAGAAAAAGAAGAAGAGGGAGGAGAAGGAGAGGAAAGGGGAGGTGTGGAGTGGGGGGGGCGGGGAGGGAGGGGGAAAGGAAGGGGAAGAAGCAGCCCTCCCAGAGGAGATGGTTCGTAACTGTCTCCTTAGCTTTGGTATCACAGACTACTTTGATAGTAGGAAGAAAGTCAGGGCCCTCTCCCTAAGGAAGTGTTATACGTCTATAAATTCATGCACAATTTCAGGAGCCTGTGGACCTGCCGAAGTCCACACATAGTCCCTGATCTGTAATTTAAGACCCTTAGTAGAATTGGTGGCACATAGAGAGAGGGCAGCAGAGGGAGGTAAAGTCAGAGGTGTGGTGGACACAAGGTGAGAAGGCTGTTGGGTCTAGGTTCCTACCCCAGAAATACCATGTTTGCCTCCTTTTGCGATTCTGCTTCTCGAGCTCCAGATCTGGGCAGTGGTTAAGTCCACTGCTGATCAGTTGTCCTGGGGATACTGTGGGCAGACGTGGAGAAGTATCACTCAGGAAGACTCCTTTGTTCTTTTCCAGCTCCTCACAGCCAGTGACCTTGCAGCCAGCGACCTCAAAGGATTTCAGCCACAGGTAAGTCCACTGATCCTTTTGTGAAGCTCGGGAGAGAGAAATGCCCCATAGTTTGGTCATGAGCAGATGAAGCTGGGGCCAGGGCAGAAACCCCCATAATGGATCTCCAGTTTCTCTGACAGTGTGACACTGTCAACCTTGACAGTGACCTGGTAGCTTGCCCTCTCCTTCAGCTTCTCCCTCATGTCTTCGCAAACAAAGCCACCTCTTTCTCCTGTCTCTCAATATTTTATAGTGGGGGGAAAACATAGGCCAAGATGTCTGTAATACATGGTGGTGGGCAGCCTAGTGGAGGAAAAGGCTAAACCAAGGAGGTAGAGGGCAGGCTGGCGTTCTCCCCTGTATTTCTCTTTTTGGTGACAGTATACTTAACATTTCTGAACTCTTTGTGTGTAAATGACTTAGAGTCGAGGCGTGGCAGCCAGGTCAATCTCAGACTCTCGCACAGGCAGATGGTTGTGTTTTGCTGATCATGGGCAGGAGAAAGCCCACCATTATCTCTGGCCAGAATGCTGTTTGGAAGTCATCACGGGCAGACCATGGGAGGGAGCAGGCGTGGGCTCTCTGAGGAACTCCTTCGTGATGGGAAAGATGGAAAATCACCCTCCCTGTCTCTGGAGGGGGACTCCTGTCAGTGCAGGAACGTGTAAGCATACACACACACACACACACACACACACACACACACAAATACATAGCAGACACATAGAGGTCCTTGAGTTCCCCACACACCCCAGTGGAGACAGAGCATGTATACAAAGAGAGGTAAACCCAAGAGAGACAGCTGTGGTCCTCTATCCCTTCCCCTGTCCTTCTTTCAATATGAACCTTTCTATCACCTTTCCAACCCAGTGCCTGCCCTAAGGTTCCCATTGTTCCATACCTCTGTGAGGAGATATCATCGCTCATGGCAGGTGCCTTCTGGGACAGAGCAAGTCATTTTCTGGTAGCAAGAATTCCGTATATTTGGCAATGTTTTCTTCTTTAAATCTGTTTCACACCCAAGAGCTCACCATGCCCTCACTATACTTCTATGTGGGGTACATCCTATGTGTCCCCTTATCCTGCAGGGGTACTAAGGACCTGGGGTCCTGGTAAGAAGTGGCCCCAGAACACACAGAGAGCTGGGGACAAGAACAAAGAGTCGAAAGTGAGGGGTTTGAGAAAGAGAATGAACAAAACAAAGGGCTCCGAGGGTGAGAGTCAAAGATGAATCCTTGCCCTGGCTTGGGGTGAGGTGTCCTCGGTGGATCCTTGTTGATCCATTGTTGATGCAAGGAGGTTTTAAAAATAGATAACCAGCAAGTCTTCTGGCAACTACTGACAACTGATAATCACTTATTCACATATTCACACAAATTTGCAGGTGAGCTAAGGGAATGTGAAACAGAAACATAAGAAAATCAACATCAACCCATACCCCGGCCGCGGCTACACTCACACATAGTGGCATCCCAGCTAAAGATTCATTTTTATCCAAAAATTTATAAAAATGAAGAGCAAAAAAGACTTGTGTGATGTTTTGTGGCTTGAAAAGGCACATGGTAGAGACGGAGTTTGTGGAAGGGATGTGTGTGTGTGTATGGTTTTGGCATCGATTCTTTCTGAGGTGGTCATTTTCTTGCCATGTCTATTGAGCCACATTTCTAGATGTTAGATTTAAAGTGAATTGTTTAAGGGAAGGAAAAGTTAGGTATATTTGGGGTACGTCCATAACATTTGAGGCCATGATGCTAGAAAGGCAGCTTTCGTGCTCCCACAGATAACTCCACAGTAGCTGGTGCAGATGGCTCACTCCCCTGGTTCTGTCTGACCTTTCCACTTTATTCCATTTGTGTGTCATTCCCCTGAGGCTGGAGACATAAATGCATATTTTTCACTCCTCAGGATGCGTGTTCCCGAGGCCAGGAAGCCCTGGGAGTCTTGAGGCCAGAGTGCAATGCCCAGATCAAAGCTAATTCTTCAGTTATTCCTAAATCAAAAAGGCCTGGATGTGTCTCAAGTCAACACCACCCTTTTGGGTGCTTTTCTGAACAGAAACAGAATGCTGCCCACATGCTTTGGGCTGCCTTCTCTCAGCCCCACTGCACCAAATTGTTGGCTTCTGTTATTTTCCTCTTTTAGTTTCAGATGAAACTGAGCCCCACACATCCTGATGTCTGCAGTAATTCACGGACACGTTCCCCTCCAGGAAGTGTGACGGACTTTCAGGAGGGGAACTCACTGAGACACCGAGGATCCCCCATGTCCCCCCGGGGTTCACTGCAGTCGGGCCTGTCAGCTTTCACGACCTGAGCCAAAATGCACACTTACCAAGTGCATGTAAAGGGTTTTCTTTTCCTTGATGCCTGTTCCTGCTGCAGCCGCTTAGGGAAAAGAGCCAAAGTGTCCTCACTAATCTTTGACCGTCCCTGGCTTTGAAAGTGTGGAGTGACAACTGTATGGCACTAGACTGTTTTGTCTCTCTGTCTCTGTACTTTCTGCATCCACACAGAGAAGAGGACGGTAGGGAAGTGACTGTCTGTCTTTCTGTCCATGATTACTGGTTTGTAAAGACAGCATGCTCATTCCTGGAAATAAGCACGTTACTTCCAAGGACGAGCCTGCTGGCAGATGCTAAAGCTTCCAAGGCTTCCAAACAACAGTGGGTGTTCTCTCCAGCCTGGTGCACTTGGCCTCTGCACCGCACAGGGGAGAACCATCTCCCAGAGTCAGGCCGGGGCTGACAGGTGGCTCTTCCCAGCAAGTTTTAAAGGCCCAGGTGGAAAAGCTTCTGAAATTCACATCTGAACCTCTCAGGCCCTTCACTGCCATTTGGTTCCCACCCAAAACACATCTTTATTTTCTATTCGCTTGTTCTTTTGCCTTTTGAAGGAGCAGACACAGTGAGTCTCCTTTTCTTCTTATCTTTGGATGGTTGGAAATGAGGACCCTCATCCCCTTTTGCCCGACCATCCCTCTCCACCCGCCATGAGAATAAAAGCAGGCATCTTAGTCCCATTAGTAAAATCCACCAATTACATGCTTTCTTCTCCATTCTTCTTTTCTCTTTCTCCCCCCACCCCCCCACCGCCCCCGGCCCCCGTATAAAACCTGTAAGTAGTCACAGTAGAAATTTTGGAATGTGTGAAGGGAGTCAAGAGATACGAGCTTCCAGTTATAAAATAAATAAGTCTTAGGGGTGTAAAGTACAGCGTGGTGACTCTAGTCAATAATACTGTGTATTTGAAAGTTGCTAAGAGACTAAGTCTTAAAAGTTCTCATCATGAGAAAAAAAACTTGTAACCTGTGCAGTGATGGACACTATTAAAAAAAAATAACTTAAAAAAGGTATCTGGGGAGTAGAGAAAAACATCAAAAATCTCTCACTCCACCCCAGAAATCTAGAAAATGACATTTTGCGGTATAGTCTTACGGTCTTTGTTGTGCATCGATATATATGCATCTGTTGGATTTTTAAAAATGTGATACCATATTTTATATGCTTTTTGTTACCTTCTTCTTTGTTTGCATGCTTTCCATGTCACTGAAGAATCTTCTAGCAACTGACCATTTTTGTCTGCTTGCTGGTCTCATCATATATTTACCACTTCCCCCTTGCTAGACGTTGCATTACTTTTGCGGGCTGAGATCTCCAGGAGGAGGAGATCTCTAGGAGCAATCCCAGGCAAATGCTGAATCCATTGTCCTCATCTAGGATAACTGCCAAGGCTTCTTGGCAGTTAGTTCTTTGTTTCTTGGCTCCTGCAGAGATGTGAAGGCTTCTTCTTCTTCTTCTTTTTTTTTTTAAGATTTATTTATTTATTAGAGAGAAAGAGAGCTGGGGGAGGGGCAGAGGGAGAGAGAGAATCCTCAAGCAGACTTCTCACTGAGAGCGGAGCCTGACAACAGGGCTCAATCCCAGGACTCTGAGATCACGACCTGAGCCAAAATCTAGAGACGGCCGCTCAACCGACTGAGCCACCCACATGCCCCAATGTGAAGGCTTCTTAAATTTTGCGGTGGAGTGTCCACGTGAATGTGCCCATGGGCACTGGTGTGCACACTTAGGACAGCCCAGGTGGGGAATGTGGTGAAGAACTAATCATAGCATGAGGCCCACACTCAGACGCAGGGTTTCACACGTCCAGGCTCAGTGCTGGGAAAGTGACCTTGAAAAGATGCATTCCTGCCAGAGGAGCAAGCCCACTAAAGCACTTGGTTCTCACCTACTTTATAGACTCCCCATTGTCTCAGAGGAGAGGAGGATACTTCTTTTAGAAAAAATGGAGTTTTACTTCCCGTGTGCCTCGTGACAGGATCTCACAGAACAAGTGTAATAGTTATTCCATCAAGGGTAGCCATTTTTAAGGAATTTCCAAAATGTCCATTGCTTTTATGGCCAAGGGAACATGGTAGTGGAAGGTGAGGAGGGAGTACATCAGGACCCATAGGAAGACATTTTTCAGTGTTGAGAAAATGGCTTTCTGTCACTGAGGTGCCATTTTATTCAAAGGCACCCATGGAGACCTTTATGTGGGGCTCCCTGCTGTGCAGATGCTTCCCCAGAATTCGTCAGTTCTGTAATGTTCTGCCACTGATACCAGCTTTGTGACCCTGGCAAAGTTACCTCATGTCTTTAGTCCTCGTTTTCCTTATCAAACAAAAAAGTTGTGTCGCTTATCTCACAGATAGTTGTAAGGATCAAATGGGACAATGTTGTGAAAGCAGCCTAGCGTGATGCCTGCCGCACACAGTGAATTCAATTTTTTCTTGCATTAGAGAACTACAGGTTAAATTATTTCAGAATTCAGGAGAAGGAGAAAATGTATCTATATAGAGCAAGATAGGAAGTCTTCCAGGTAGAGGTGTCATTGCACCTGGGCCAAGATAGTGATAGTGAGGTAGTAAACTCATTCCAGGGCTGGGGAAGCCGGATGAAGCCCAAAACAAGGGGTGGAGATGCTTGGGAATGTTCTGAAGACTTGGAGTAGAGATAGAAGTTACAAATTAGGTTGGAA